TGTATTATTTCATATATTTTATATGTGACCTTATTAATATTAAATATTTTATATCTACAGATTTTGAAAATTCCTGGGCTCAATTCTGAAGTTATTTCAGAGGTTAATATAATGAAGTCGCAGGACACTTCAGTATTTAAGCCGTTACAAATAGACCCAAAAGATTTAACTCCAAGTCCTATGGGCCCAGAAGAACGAAGTTCTTCATATTTGTGTAAAAGAATGTATAAATTTGAAGAAGTTGCTTGTAAAGAATATAATATCAAAGATGATCAAAAAAGGGAACAAAAAATTCAAAAACATTTAGCAATCTTGGAAAGATTAAGTGAATGTAGATATATTCTCAAGTTTTATGGTTTATCTCGTATTGAAGGGAAAGATGTTCAAGTTTTACAATGGGCAGCATTAGGTTCTTTAAGAGATGTTTATATGGCAAAAGATATTGAGTGGGTAACAAAAGTATCTATAGCTCGTGATATATGTCGTGGTCTTGCCTTTCTTGAATCTGTAGATATTTTACATCATGACATTCGTGGTGAAAATATTATGGTATGAATTGTACATTTGTTAAAAGTTTTTATACTAGATTTAATTAAATTTAATCATTTCGTGAATTAATTCATGAAAAAAATTTAGATGACTGCAGGTTATAATCCCAAGATTGCAAATTTTGATGTAGCTCGTAAACAAAATGAACCCACTAGTCAAATCCCTGATCTTAAAAAGGTTGTACGTTGGATGGCTCCTGAAAAAATAAAAGGCGAACCTTATACTACACGTTGTGAAATTTTCAGGTAATTTTATATATTAAAAATTGCATAAAATACTCATAATGAATATACTGTATTAATAATTTTATTTTTAAATTTTATGTTAATAAGCTTTGGAATGTTGCTTTGGGAACTCACTTATGAAAAAGAACCTTATCAGGGTATTGATAGCTTCGAAGAAATTAAAGACCTTGTTACGAATGGTTTTAGAGAAAAAATCTCTTTTGCTCCTACGCAGGATCCAAAAATAAAGGAAATTCAACAAACATTTGAATATATTATGAAAACAAGTATGTTCATGTTTTTATGTTTAAACTACTTTCTGGATATTAATCTATATATTTATCTATATTTATCTATATATATTTATCTATATATTTGTCTATATATTTGTCTATATATTTATCTATACATTTTAAGTGTAACCTTGTCTATTACATATCATAATAATCATGATTCACTACATGATAAAAAAAATTTTTTCGATCTATACAATCTATTAAATTCCACAACAACTAAACGA